TTTGTATACAAACATATTTGCGCTTACAAAAGTGGCGGCCACTACTTAGAACATGCTGCGCGTAGCAATACTGTCCAGCAGAAGTAACGCAGCAGTTGCAACTGCTACATGAAGCCGCTACGTAGCGCTACGTAGCGCTAACTTCGGCAAAACACACCCGTTAAGTACTAGGCAGAGAGAAGCCTGAGAGCGGCCATGCCATTGTAGTTTCTTACGACGGTTTCAGCTGCTGGTTTTAGCCGTATTTCCACAAAAGTGGAACTCAAAGGCCGTTCTCCATTAAACTCAAGTCGCAGGTCTCGTAGAACTGATCAATCACGTTGGTCGATTGGCTGATTTGACTCTGCAATTGGTCAATTCCACGAGATCTGCTACTTGCGTTTAATGTAGAACGGCCTTTGAGTTCCACTTTTGTGAAAATACGACTAAAACCAGCGGCTGAAACCGTCGTAAAAAATTACAATAGGATGGCCGCTCTCAGATTTCTCTCTGGTCCTATCATAAGTGATGATATCTCAATCGTTGAGTTTTCTGAACGTAACCAATGTAAAATAGACTTAAGGTTTGTTCGCGTCGCATGCTTCAAAGTATAACACAGAGCACTTGGATCACAAATAAGATGGCGGCTGGGACAGATAAGTTCATGTGCCCTAACGGCCAGTGACACGAACGATCTGAGGCACTTCTTCTAAGGGTTAGTTTAATAATAATTGCCCTAACTCTTAGACCATATATACTTATAGACACGGCCTGTAGATATGAATCCACGAGTCGAGGTGAAGCAAAGATAATATCATCTACGTGACGTCACATGTGGGCTTTTCAGCAATGGCTAAACGCGGCCTAGTAGGGCTGCGGTCCGAAACACGCCCACAGTACCACTAGTGCTCACAACGCTCACGATTGGTCCGATTCATTAAGCGTGCTAACGCCGCTTTTATTTCGGACCGCCTGTAGTTGTGAGCAAAAATTGCAAAGAAACATAACCTGTATAAACATTGTGTGATGAAGTTTTTAAAAAATCGTGATAATATAATGGCTATAGAAAATAAAGCAGTGTTATTGCAATTAATGGAAATTGCATTCGAGAATTCAGAGGATGATGATGATGAATATTNAAATTTTGTAATTAATTCGTCAAGTAGTGATGAAGATGAAGAGGAAATAGAAACAATTTCTATTGTAAGCAACAATAGAAAAAAAGAAAACAAACGGCCTCGAATTGAAGGTTTTGTGGAAAGGATTATCCCTGGATATACCGCGGAAAAATTCAAAATACATTTTCGGTATATTTATTTTTATTGATATATTTCTTGTCGCGATAAAACTTGTAATAAACTTATGCAACTTNTACTTTTGAAATAGATTACTTCCGACGACTTTTGATTTTATTATAAGCCTAATAGGACCAAATTTNAATTTTACGAAGTCATTCTCAGGTAGAAAGCCTATTCCAGCATATAAACAATTACTTATGGCTTTATGGATGATGGCCACACCAGATTCATACAGGTGATTTGATTGCAATAGATGCCTGATTTTTTAATAATTGTTTGATGAAAATATTGAAACAAATTATGGCTTTTATAGATCTGTGTGTACTAAATTTAATATGGAAAAAGCAACAGCAATTCGCGCCATGAGACGAGTCACATATGCTTTGCATAGCTTAGCTCCTCGTTTCATTCAATGGCCTNAAGGAAGAAAAGCTACTGAAGTAATAGCGGCATTTAAACGTGTGAGTGGATTCCCAGATGTGATAGGGGTTATAGATGGCACACATGTGGAAATACGATCTCCTCAGAATGACGATTATCAAGCATATATAAACAGAAAAGGATATCCATCAATACATGTACAGGTAATATTTTGTGGAAAACTGCTAAATACAGTTAAATAACAATCTAATTTTCAGAGTTGTAAATGTGACTTCCAATTTTGTATTGTTCTATTTCAGGCTGTATGTACTCAAAAATTATTGTTCACAAGTGTGTTTGTTGGAAATGCTGGATCTGTGCATGATGCTCGAGTTTTCAGAATCTCACCAGTTGCTGGATATATTGAAAATCCAGAAATGTACTTTCCAAACNATAGTCATCTTGTTGGTGATGGTGCTTATGGTATCCATCCAAATTTANTGGTTCCATTTAAAGATAATGGCCACTTAAGTCTTAGACAAAAAAATTTCAATTTATGTTTATCGTCAGCCCGAGTTGCAATCGAAAGAGCCTTTGGTGTCTGGAAAGGACGCTGGAGAAGTATTTTANATTGCTTGCCTATGACTACTTTAGAGAAAATACCAGAATACATAGTTGCAACTATGGTCTTGCATAATGTATGTATATTGAGCGGGGATCTAGTTGATATTAATCTGGAGCTAAATCAACAAAATGTTATCCAACGTAGTAGATTAATACCAGGTAGAACAGATGAAGGCAATATAAAACGACAAAGAATAATGAATGCTTTGATTATGAGGAACAGTTGATGTAATATTTTTTGTCAAATATAAAAAGTGAAAAATATATTACTTTAAGTAAATATATAAAATAATATATAATATATAATATTGTTTTAAGTGAATTATATATAAAAATCGATATAAAATATATAAATTATGAGTTAAACTGAGTTTCAGATTTATTTCTACGTACCTGTCAAATATAATTAGAAGTTTTTTAGTCTAGCAAAAATGACAAAATATAAACTACTCTAAACATTTATATATATAATATATATACTATATATATAATATCACAAAGATTAATAAAATCACGATAATCATTGAATGTAATGTATATACAAGTAAGTATGTATCAAAATTAAACGTTCTTTTTTTATTTGATGACATGAATACATACATAAATTTATGAAAAATCATTAAATATTAAAACTACAACTAAAAACTTACTTAGTTATATCACATCAAAATTCTGAATATATATGAACACATATATATATACTTAAACATACACACACATTTAAATACTTTTCTTTAATCACAAAACAAAAATTGCATAAGATTTTTAATAACTTTATATTTGTAACACATCAACTTCTTAAGGTAATATCACACTTGTATTTACTAAATAATCAGCTAAATAATTAACTTAAAAATTGCACGAAATATAACATAGAATGTAATAGGAACTCAAAGTAAGTTAGGTTTGTAATATTACAAATATCAAGTAGATAAAAAAATAAATATAACATTTTTTTCAGAAAAATCATAAATTATAATGCCAATACAAATAATTAATCAAATAATTTTTTACCCGCAATAGTTTCACAAAATTTTTTCATTATATCCATTTTTTCTTTATGCTGTTTTTCTTTTTGATCTTTTAGTTCTTGTAATATAGTTAACTTTAACTCTTCTTTTTTCTTCTCTCTTTCCTGCCTGTCTTGTTTTAATTGTTTGATAAATTCATCTAAAACTTTTTCAGATTTTAACTTTTTAGTGGTAGGTCTCTTATTTTGGTTCTCATCTGTTGAACTTGCAGGAGATGAAGGCCCAGCTTCTGATGCTATTGCTTTCGGATTAGCCCATCCTGATCTTCCAAATAATTCATCCATTCTCTAAGAGCAAATAAAACATATCAAAGTTTATATATCTACTCTCGTGTGTAGAAAAAAAATTTGAAACAAACATTATATATTACAGATATAATACCTCAAAATACTGCCAAGATTTTCGATCATTTCCAGATATGTTATTGTGATCTATGACTTTCCTGTACATTTTCTTCAAGCTGTTCAGTTTTGATTGACATTGTGTGCCTGTTACTGCAACATTCGGATCAACTGTATTCATGTCATTTGCAATACTTTCCCATATCTTACTATGACGTTTAACGCCTGAAGAAAATTCGTTCATCCGTTCTTCATATTTTTGCAAGAGTAAATATACACTTTTTGAAGGCCATATAAATACAGCTTTATCACTCTCTACAAAATATCCAATTATTTGTTTAGGGTTAGGAACAATAATAGAGCAATTATTTAACATTAATAATTAAACTTATATACCATTTGTATCTTCACCAATTTCTTGTATTGAGTTTGCTGGAGATAGTGATTCCGATGATGGATAGAACGTAGGAGACAAAACTTCTTTCATAAGCATTGTTTCATTAGGCTTCTGTAAAATATTCTTTTGCCTCGCATATTCATGCATTAAATTTAATGCAAATGCATTGTCTAAGTTTTTCATTGCAGAAAAAGCAAAACTTATTAAAATTACTTGTGCAAAGTTAACCTAAATAAAAAGTAAGTATCTCAATTTTTATTACCTGTAGTTGCTCTTTTAGCGTCTTCTGCATTTAACTGAAATTTTATTACTTCGCCGTTTTCGTTTTCAATAAAAACGTCATGAACTGTTAAATCTGTCATTTTTGTATAATTTTTAATAAGAAAAAAAAATATTTTTGTCAAAAAGAAACACACTTTTCTTTGTTCCCGCCAAAATAACGAAACGCGCTCACGGTGACCCATCTTCGGATTATGGGCGTCGTGAGCATCTCGTGAGCATAACTCAATGACGTCACTTCGCTCACAAAAAACACTCACAAAGCGAATCGGACCGATCCTGAATGCGCTAATAGCGCTGTGAGCGTATTTCGGACCGCAGCCTAGATGATATTATCTTATCTTCAAGGCAGTTATCTGAAGCCGTCTATAAACGCGCCTTTGCTTTGCCCACATGTGACGTCATGTAGATGATATTATCTTTGCTTCAAGATAGTTGTCTGAAGCCGTGTCTATAAGTATATATGGTCTAAGTCCTAACTACTACCTTAGGCTACTGGACCGGCCCAGTGATCTCGCGGCCTGAGTGCAGGGGCTGCGAACCTGGAGGTCCCGAGTTCGAATCCGCTCACCACCTAAGGATTTTTTCCGGGCCGGTCCCTTTCAACCGAGTTTATCGGTTGATTGGCGAACTGAATCGGGCCTCCAATAATTAATTCGGGTGTAATCCCGAATTAATTTCTCTCCCACAAGGCGATTGTAGTCATACCATCTTGAGCACGAGCCCGACACAGATGGGCACGCCCCCTGTGAAAGACGGCCGTGTATCGCGTGGTAGTAGGTAAAAACTGCACATCCCCCCCCCACATTTGTTCTGAGAATGGCTGCTTTCCTATTAAGAGACACAGTCGACACAAGTCGACACAAGAGTCATTCTGTCTTTGTTTCTCACTGAATACTGAACGAAGACAGAATGACTTTTGTGTCGACTTGTGTCGACTGTGTCTCCTAAAAGGAAAGCAGCCAATGTATATCAGTAGACTGGCGTTTGCTCCTCTCTCGCAGGGGCGTGAGCCATAGAAGCAAAGAAGAAGAAGAAGAACCTTAGGCTACTGCCGTAAAAGTTGGAAAATATGAAACTCGTATTCCCGTTCATAATTTAATTATAAACGGTGGTACGAATTTCCTATTTTCCAACGTTTACGACAGTAAAAGTAGTTTAAATTAACGGTTACGGCTATTATAAATCAATTCTAACAATATGGATCCGCTCGAAAATTTGTTGTTTGGTTTTTGTATTGTTATTAATAACGAACTTGATGACGTTTTTGCACAAAATCTTGTGCCTTTTGCAGATGATTTATTTAGAATAGAAGACGATGACAAAATAGAGAGTAAGTATTGATGACCATCCTTGTTGAAAGCAGAATTATTTTCTATTTCATCATCTGAGTCTATATATACAGTTGAAGAATCCAATAAATGGCATGTGCTGTATAGAACCTGTTAAGGGAATTGTAACTGAAGGATTTTCACGAATTACAGCCTGAGAGTATATTCTGGAAGGACTTGATACATTCAATAAGGAATTTAAAGGCACAGTGGATGTTGTGGTTAGATACTGTGTCGAGTTTGTTGTAGAAGTTACAGGAGTAAATACAGTTTTGAGCTTAATTAACTTAAATGACAGCATTTTAGGCATAGCTAAATTTAAAACAACAAGTCTGATTATCGAGGAATTAACACTTATGGGATGTGTTATAATTTTCTGATTAGGATTAGGTTTCATTTTTTTCTTGCAACTAAAAAAAGAGAAAAATAATAAATCAATACTTTTGATAAGCTGCTCAAAGTGTGTTTCTTGCTACTGATAATATTCACATATTTTCTTTTCAGCCACATACTTTTTAATAAGCTTTCAAATATTGATTCCAAAATTCGAAAGGAGACGTAAAAAATTACTATACTCGTCCTCATTGCGCATGTGTACAACAAAATGCCCCAACTGCACCACCTTTAAAGCTGAGGCACATAGAGCATGCTCCTATTTGTCCCTTAGGCTGCGTTCGGAGAGCAATCGCTATCAGCGCTATTACGTTATTCTATCTTTGTTTTACATCTAATGAGTAATAAAGATAGAATAATGCAACAGCGCTGATAGCGCGCTCCTTGAACGCAGCCTTAGAGTATGCTGATGCGAACACCTAATCGCCATACTGTTTCCGGTGACGCGAACGTATTAGAGCGCGTTGGAGCAAGTTGGAGCATTTTGGGGCATGCGACGCGAACAAACCTATATTTTCTGTTACATTCTGATAACACACTTTCTATAAAGATAGTCTTTTTGAAATTTTTTATATGGATTTGACGTAGTTTTTATACGGATTTCACAAAATAAATAAAAGGAAGAAGGTCATTTTCCTGCTTTTCTATTGATTACTTAAACTATAGTACATATGTGTCGAAATTGTCAAAGCATAATTCTATCTTTATTTTTCGTTAAATTTAGAACAAAGATAGAATGATTTAGAAGCATTTGCAGCACTACTTTAATCGCAGTCTCTGTGACACAATGTAGTACAAGCACACGCCGCAAGGCGTGGTCAGCGGTTTGACCACTGTTGCACGTTCATGGTATATCTTTATATGCGTAATGTGTGGATTGTATGGCGATTATTCAAAAAATTGAGCTTTATCGTTTATTTGATAGTTTCTGTAGTGATATATGCAACAATTTATAATTCCGAACTGAAAGATTTCACGTATTAGATTTACATTAGAAGCATACGAAATCGGACGTGTGCGCGCGCACGAGCACACACACATATAACATACAACGTATAACATCTGCGGTTAGTGTGATGCAGGATCGAATGCGTTCGCGACGAATAAATACGGGGATTACATGGTTAGTAGATAAAGTATTCTACAAAGTGAGAATTGGTCAATCGTGAGTGTAACAGTTACGTGAGTTTTGTCTGTCGACGGGCAACACAACAGTGTGTGTCGTTCCACCAGGTGTTTGTTCCATCGTCCGTTTTTGCAGACCACGCTCGATGTGAGAATTGGATTTTTCTACTAGCGCTTTGCAGTGCTTATCGAGATAGACGACTTCACCAATATTGTTTATATCTCGAGACTGACGGTAAGATATCTCTATCGACTGATTATAACAATATTGCTTATCTCTAAGTGAACTATATTCTGATTAGAATTATGTGACTTGTTAGGTATCAATTATATACATTTTTCACAAGTTTAAATGCGATATGCGATCAAAATATCAAAATATTATCAAAATATATCAAAATATTGAAACTTCAATACAATAAAAAAGTATAAAAAAGACAGTGTGCACATGATACACACACACACACACACGTGCAAGTGGAACATACAACTAATAATACATTTCCACGTTATTTACATTTATATATTATAAGTGCTATTATAAATAGCACTTATGATCATTTTAAAATACCAAATATTAAAGCTCATGATAATGTATAACTTAAATTAGAGGTCTCATTATAAACCTAGTTATATGCTAGATCTACATATGTACAAAATATTTTTTTAATAATGTGTAAATAATTCCACACATGGAAATTTGAAGTAAATTCAATTTGATCATTTATTTAATATGCTTTGTTTGATTTTAAAATATTTGGTTAGAGCCAATGTGAGCCAAAATATTGAATGTTTATATAAAATATCTTTTTCTTTATTATAAAAATTCAAACATTTCAATTTTGAATATCTAAAAAAAGATAAGAAAATACAATCGTGTTGCAGTTCAATTTTTGTGAGTTTTTTTTGAAACTATTATCAGTATAGCTATCTATTTTTGGAACGCTAATATTATGAATAATATTATGTAAAGGCTTTGCAAAAAACATAAAAAAGTGTTAATCGACAAGCATGTTATTTTATATATTTATGGTTTTTATTTTTAAAATACTTATGTTACATATTAAGAGAAGCATTATTTATGCACAAACAATAAAAGTCGTATATTATTATACCAAAGATATGTGATTAGAAGAGTACTTTATATGATATACAATAATTTTTCAAAATGTCTACATTGAAACATTAGATTTTTTTTTGGATGATGAATTTGTATCTAAATAAGCTATTAATGTAGAACTTAATATTTGAACATTATAGACACTTTCTTAAATTGTTTTCAATTTTAGTTATTTTTACTGTTGACATCAATTGTAGTAATAACTATATTATGATCATAATGTATAAAGTTTATCAATTAAATGTTTTTTGTCTTGCTTGTTGATGATCTTATGTTAATTTTGATTTTTATTATGCTTCATTTTTCAAAAAGAATTATTATTTAAGTTTATACTGTTGATAATTATATGATATTTATAAACTTTTTACTGATGAAAATCTACTGTCTAGAATCGTCTGAATTTTAATAACATAGAGAAGAATATTTTACATAAGCAAGTAATTATTCATTCTAGTATTCTCAGCATAAATTTTGATGAAATTATGTTTGTTTGAAATCATGCGTTTTTGCACAAAATGAAAGAATCTGGAAAAAAAGTGTCGGCCCCTCGCAAAGCTAGTTATAAAGCAGTAAAGTTGCTGCTTTTAAAGATTAGGAAATCTGTTATTTTGACAGAATACAGCCGGATGTCTGTTCTTTTTAACTGAACTTCGTGCACCGTTCATCTTTGATCTTTTTTTTAAAGTGAAAAGAAAAAAGATGAATTGTGAAAGAAGTTTAACTAAAAGAAGGTCTCATATTAACATGCAATGTAATCATATGCACAGAGTGTTTCGCTAAATGTAACATACGCTATGATTATGTGCGCACGCACTGTGATTATAATCTTCGCACATTTAAAATAACATAAATAAAGCGCGCCACAAACGTAAACAAATTATTACACAAAAACAATGCAACAATCCTACAATAATGATCAATAGAAAAGAAAGATTTTTGGTTTGTTTTTTTCGTTGAACTAGTCACACTAGTACAGAGTTTATTTTTTTTCTCCCAGCAAACAATTTCTGACTGCGCAGACCTGGCAACAGAAACTGTGTGCAGAAATGCTATAATACGGAAACATGCTTTGTGTGCTGCCAAAGCTGTTAACACACAGACACAAAAAACGCAACATGGTCACCAAAACTCACCAAATCATATCCTACTGAGGACACAGATAGATATGGATTTGATGTGGCAGTTGGCGACAAAATCGCAACATTTGACAACCAAATTGTTTGCTGGGCTCTTTTATTTAGAATGAAAGAGATGAACTCTAAACTGATGCAGCTGGTTCATTAAAAAAAAAAAAAAACGCGGGATTAATTTCTTCAACATGCATTTCTTAAAAAAACTCATTTTAATATGACTTGA